CGAGTCCCTAAACTCATTTTAAAAAAAAGTGTCGCGGTTATTCTGTTTATCGCTGTACAGTGATGGACAGAATGGTTGCGGCACTCTTTTTTTTTTAGTGAGTTTAGGGACGTGCATTGAGATTCAGGTTTACGTTCCAAAATCTTCTTCCCCGAGGAATACTTTACTCGATGGCCATTCCGAAACCATTTTGCGCGTTTCCGAGTAAAATTTTCCTCGTAGAAAAATGTTTTGGAACGTAAACCTGAATCTATAATAATTGCGCGTTTCTAAACTCATTAAAAAAAAACAGCGTCGCAACCACTCTGTCCATCACTGTACTTACACTAGGAATCACTGATTCCTTGTAGCACAGTGCATTGGCTAAACATTGGTCCAATGTTGGTATTAGAAATGCATTGGCCGATATTATCCAACGTAAAGCCAATATTGGCCATGGAATAAATTAAATATAATAATTATAATAATTATAATATTAAATTTAGGTTGGAAGTGCATTGGCCAATATTTAACAATGTAATAAGACTTTTGGTCTAATATTGTTAGACGTATTGGCTAAATAAGAGAAGGCGTCCATATTACAATATTGGACCAATATTGGACATATTAGATTTACATTATTTCCCAATCTTGCGCCAATATATTGTGCTACTAGGGATGCCTTTCCACATGAATGTGTGCGCATATCAACACATTTACACATTTTTCATATACATACATAGAAAATGTATATGTGTTCTACATGCACCTAAATTCACACGCTCGTTTAAAGCTCGTTAATTATTATATTGCTAGTTTAACGTAAAGTCTTACGGGAATTTTCGAAAGACAAATAATAAATTGTTCAAATACTATTAAAAACTAATGTTTAAATTTTGATTTTTTGTATACCATGTTCCACAGACGTATAAAAATGTTTCTGCGAAGTTTCAGAAGGATTTACTTGCTCGTTTTGCAATTATTAAAAATCGATTATTAGTTTTGACGCAATATCGACGACGAAACGTGACAAAGCCTGGGAACATTTAAAATACAAAACTTTTTAGCTCCCTTCATATTGGAAAAACCAATTTTGTTTCAATTAGAATTCATGCTCTGTCCAATTTGAATTTTCTGACGTTCCGGATTAACTTTTGGAAAAGACGACCCGTCCAATACATTCTTAATCCTAGTAGCACAGTATATTGGCGCAATATTAGGAAATAATGTGAATCTAGTCTTTCCAATACTTGTCCAATATTGTAAGATAGACGCCTTCTCTTATTTAGCCAATATGTCTATTTAGCAATATTAGACCAATATTCTTATTACATTGTTCAATATTGGCCAATGCACTTGCAATATAAATGTAATATTATATAATGATTGTTGTGCAATATTTACATTTATTCCATGGCCAATATTGGCTTTGCATTGAACAATATCGGCCAATGTATTCTAATATAACCAACATTGAACCAATGTTTAGCCAATGTTTAGCGAATGTTTAGCAAATGTTTAGCCAATGCAATGTGCTACTAGGGAAGACTCCTGGATGCTTACTGCAGCCAGGGTCGTGACGTCAGAAGCCCGAGACGTCACGCTGGAAATTCTCGTGTGGCATTTTAAAAGAAAAAAACATTTGGGTGAAAAAATATTTGAGATCGCTTTAAGCACTTAACTTGTGAAAGATCTCGAAAAACTGTTGACCTCTTCCCTTGACAAACAGCCGTAAAATGTGAGTGTAATACGAATCCTAGTCGTATGACGTCACGCACACGCAAGCTTACGCATGACTGGGACTCGTATTACATTCGCATTTCACGGCTGGTTATCAGCTGTCGAGGGAAAAGATTAGTCTTCGGAATATCTCACTGGTGTGCTGAAGCGATCTGAAATGTTTTTCTTCCAAATATCTTTCTATTTGAAAATGCCACGCGAGAATTTTCAGCGTGTCATTTCTCGCCTCTGACATCACATACGAGTACAGCGAGCCTCCAGCTTAACGTGTCCCCTACTGCGCGCACGTGCGCGAGTTCCCGACCGTCACGTTGACGCAACTCCTACATGTCCCTCCCTTTATTTTAAGGAAACGAAAAGACCTTCGAAAACAATATCCAATATTTAAACCTCCCGTTCACTCGCCGCCGTCATCTTGAATCGATGACGTCAGAAGTGACACAAATATATCATGAAAACTCAATCTGCATTGTATACGAAATAAATATGTTACTTTTTAAATTGCAGACTGAATTACTGCAGGTATAACCCGTTCGCCATTACTTACAAAACGTAAATTACAATTGTTTCTATTTTACGTTTGTTTCATTTTGCCTTTCACTTAATTAGTTTATTTTTAACTCTTCCCCTTCCCTCATTTGCGTCACCAGACTGATCAGAGCTCGGGGGAAAAAATGGCGCCCCTGTATATCTGTGGAATTGAATCGCGCCTAATCGAGGCCGAAAGCAAGCTATTTGATAGCTGCCGAATCGAAATAAATAATAATTGCTCTCGCATATTAAACTATAGCAAAAACGGGCGTCTGCGATTTACTATATTTTAATCTCTATCGAGACAATTATTTTTTTAATGTAAAACACTACGATGAAAAAGGACGCTGTAGACTGGAAGGATAATTTAGCTTTTTGTTATTTTTCACGCCTCGTGACACACACTTTTTTCAGGTAGTTTCGACGCTGTGTGTAGCGTCAACGCGAGCTTGGCATCGAGCCAGCAGGAGCTTTAAAGTTTTGATCAGTAAATGAAAAATGCACATCACCCTACGGTGGTCCCGATTCGCACGGACTGTTCCTCACAACGCTATGCAATAAACTGCATTCAAATTTGAATCCATTTCTACCGCCTGTTTAGGAACGGATTGACAATGTTGTCTCTTCTCTGTTTCTTAAAGTATTTTGCGAAATATTTTACGAATCCGCTGCTTTCGCGGCGCGTTTCTATTCAATTTTTAGCGAGAGTTGTCGAAGTCGAGCTCTTTGCAGCTCTAAACTGATAAATGGAGACGTGTTTCTCCGCGCCACGTCTCCCTGCAAGTCGATCTTCGTGTCGGTTTCACTCGTTTTCCAACAGCCGATGGAAATTAAGGTGCCCTCAATCTGTCCATAATGGCACAAAAATTCTTGTGTCTATCAATAATCCTATAATAAAATTAGGCCCGGTTCCACAGTGGCTAGTTAGCTTAATTGATGCCAACCACTGAAATAAAATTCGGAGTAACAAATGTATTTCCATCTAATTCCTCAAAATAAATTGATGCGCGGTCTAATTATATGTTGTACTCGCAAAAACTCTTGGAACTTCCTTGTTCCATTTCCCCATCGTCTTCATCATCATATAATAAATCCCATAGTCTTTGCATACCGACACTAAAAAATATAAACGTGTCAAAATCTAATCTTGTATATAGCTTGTATATAGCTTACCGAATTTTGTTTCAGTGGTCAGCATCGCTACCTAACAACTAGTTAAGCTAACTGGCCACTGTGGAACTGGGCCTTGGACATTAATAGTTTTCGAGTTCAACGAAAACACCTAATCGAATTACGCAAGTTAATCGATAAAACAATAGACAGCCCAACTGCGCGCACGCAACTCACTCAGGGTTCTGTCAACTACCCTAATCCCGGGAGCGTCAACCCTGCAAAATGTATCGGATCCTGAAGCGTATCTCGACCACAGCGAACGACGATATGGTAACGTGACGACGCGGGGAAGAGCTGCTCGAAACTCCAAGAGGAGAGAGAATGCCGTCAGTTGCTAGGGACTACTTCTACGCCGACAACTATTACGATTACGCCGTTCAGCCACGCAACTACACCGCTGTCTCCGCGCACCACCACTGGAACTCGCTGACTCGTCTCGTCCTGACGGTCCTGCTACGCATCGGCTTCGTCCTCGTCCAGGTCGGCAGCGTGCCGGTCAACGACGTTAATCTGATCCTCGTTCAAAACACGGTCGACCTGTGCTGCGCCACCGTCATGTACTTCCTGACGGGCTTCCTCGTCGCCTACAACGGCGACGTCGGCGGCCTGATCGGCTCGGGCCGCTGGATCGGCGACCCAGCGATCGATCGGAACGAGGCGATCGCGGGGTGGCAGGCGGTGGCGATCGCGTCGGCGATCTTCACCACCGCTGTCGCGGGTAGGATGCACCCGGCGGGATACCTGCTGGTGGGCGTCCTCTTATCAGGCCTGATCCAGCCGTTGCTCATCCACTGGGCGTGGACCGGATGGATGGCGGAGAACGAGCTGGGCGGAAGGACGGTAGCCTTCGAGGACCAGGCCGGCGCGGCGGTGATTCACGTCGTCGGGGGACTCTCCGGCCTGATCGGGTGCGTCGTTCTCGGTAGACGAGTGCTCAGGCTGAGGGACTTGGATGACGCGAGCATCACCCCCGGCTCCGCCGGCACCGTTTTCGCGGGTCTACTTTTCATCTTCGCCGGGCTTCAAGTAAATGTCTCTTCGGCCGTAACTGTATTAGACTGTCGAATTGACGGAGCAAGGAACAGCTCTGATTAGTCTTTTGGCTCCCTTTACTATGTGATTTCATTGTGTCGTATTTAGAGTTTACCAATAGTCGAAACATCTGAGAAAATCGCATTTCTTTATGAACGGGACGATCAGCGTGAAAGGGGAAAGTTGTGCGAAATTTGAAAAGAAATTCCGGTTTCGTGGCGATTTTTCGGAACTCCGAAATACACCAATCGGCTGCGCACAACATTGCTTGCGTACATTTGTAGGACTTGTGCACGAACGTGCACGAACGCGACAGGCAGCGAATGTTTGCACGGGACCCGTCGCACGCGTACATCAACAATTTGCTGGCCGCGTCCTCGTGCACATTGATGATCGTGGCTCTGCACCTCGTCCTCAGCCGTGAGACCCTCAATCACTGGACGCTAATGAGATGCATTCAGGGGACGATCGCCGGTGTGGTAACGGTGTCGGCCGCGGCGAATGATTACACGCCGCAAATAGCTATCGCACTGGGTTGCCTGGGGGGCGTCGTGTTCCACCTCGCCTCCACGTGGATCTTTCGCAGCGCCCTGGAGGATTATTGCAACATCGTAGGTGTACACCTCGTTTGCGCGACCCTCGGGAGCGTCCTGGCCCCCATCTGCTCCGCGAGCGCCGACGAGGATACCGTGACGGTATTATTGAGTTTCTCCTGGCAATTAATCTGCCTAGCTGCATTACTGGCCCTGGTTGGCGCAGCAATGCTGCTGATCTTCGGTATGCTCGAGTGCTGCGGTATACTCCGTAATGGGTCGGAATGGCTCAATCACGCACGGGCCAACGCCGCCGTCAAACGAGGCCCGCCAAGGTCGTTTCTGCAACGGCTCTTCTCTCTCGATGGTGCTTGCCTCTACCTGAAGCCGGGCTTCACTTCCACGAGGCATTATCCAAGCGCCAATTCTAGATTCATCATGTACCAAGAAGGGGCGCAGAAGCTTGACGGAGGAGGAAGGTCTACCACCGCGAGTAAACCGGACACGGGTGTCAAAACTGAAGATAATGTTACGAAGATTCAAGCGCCGGGTCGGTAAAATATTTTCCCCCCCCTACTGTTATTCGACGTCAATTTTATATTCGCAATTTATTGCTCAAGAATATCCCCGCGAAGTTTGTCTCTTAATACTTTTTATTTATTATTCTAAATAATTTGTGAGCGCATAATTTAAGAATAAATTACTTGGGCATTACCTCAGCTTTGAAATATGTAAATGGTAAGTCACTCGCTAATCTCCTACGGTAATGAAAATAATGCGTTTATAGGAGCAAGAGTAAAAAAAGCGAGACAAGTACATACTTTGGCTGGAAGTACTCCGACATTTATGGATCAAGGTGGTACTGGTGAATCGATTGACAAGGATCTCGTGGGAATTGGAAGGAAACGATTTCTTAGAAAGGAAATAAAATATGCTCTAGACCCTATCGAAGAAATAGACGAGGAGATTCCGAACGAATTTCAAGTCAAAGAAAATGGCGTTCAATCTGGTATCGACGATTGCAGTGCTGGGGATAAAAATTCAATCTCGACGGCAAATTTTAACGTGTTTGGAGATCGAAAGGACTTGAACAAATCGAATTATCAGCTTCGAAGAACCATAAAATTGATGAACTTACATCATGAATTTGTCAAGGAAGACTTGAAGGTTGTGTTGGGACCGAAACGCCTGGATTCTTCATCCAGTGATTCGTGCGACGATGACACTGTCTTTGAAAAGACGCCAGATTTGAATGAATCCACGAGAAATGTTACAATAGACAATGACTCGTTCATTTACAGCGCAAACGTACGATAAATAACCGTGTCTATTGTTGCCCGGACGAGAGATACGATTCAAGTGCGCAGAAGATATTGGCGTGGAATGACGAAATGGCAAAGTTACCAGGGAAGCTAAATCAATTTCTTGGAACTGGAACAGTTGAGGATGCTGTGCAACTTTGAAAGGGATAAAGTTGGGCTTCTGCTCGATTCCGTCGTTCTGAATTATATTATTCTAAATCATTTTAATCTAACTGTCCTAATTTGGCTTTGTTCCAGGATGAGCAGATAATGTGACACGACGATACAAATGTACCTGGAAAGAACCAAGATAATTGTGTGTGTGTCGTACAAAAGAACTGGAAATATAACGTGTATAATTATAAGAATAAGAAAAATATAACTCAAAATATGTGTACTAGAAAAAATGTATTATATATTGCGTAAGTATCACTTGATTATGTCGTTACAAAACGGTCCGGTGTAGGATTTTTGGTGCTCCTTTTATTAGAACTTACAGACTATTCGTACAATTATTACAGTATTTTACATTAGAATAGTCACAAGTTAAATAATTGAAGTGTCATACACACATCCTACGCGCGGTTTCGTTTATTCGCACAACGATGGCATTTCCTTTTCATGGGCAGTCTATATTGGAACAGAATATTTACAGAATGCTCGCCATTTCTGTGCATACACGAACGAATACACCCACGAAATTTCGTAGCAGTTAGCAGTACGCCATCGTTGATCGTTGACAGCCAATGTACAAAATGATAACTTTTAATTTAGATACAAGATTCGCAAGTCTCGTATTTGTACTGTCTTTCTTTCTTTCCGATTAACAAAATTAACAAATTTTATCATTTATGCGAATACGAAAAGAGCTGTAACGATAGAAGAATGTAAAAGAAAAACAAACAAACGGAAGATTTTCTTTAGCGATGAGGTAATGCTAAATGCTAATTGTGTCTACGCGTATGATTTTGATAAATTTCGCGGGGGTTTATTACTTACCTCTGTCGTCAGGTTATTGTCAGGTAGTAGCAATCCGGACATTTGTTGCTACCGCCATACTGAACGAAATTAAGGATATTGACTCTAAAAACCCGATGTCGCGATTGGTACGTTATAATCGTAATCATATATACAACACTGATAAAATGGCACAATTCGACGAAACAGATCAATCGGTTGATATTATCATTATCATTAGCAACTACTATTACAATACTAACAATAAACTTTGTACATGATTTGTTAAACGTTACATGGCATAGTTTTAACGGCAGTATAAAAATGAAAACAAGTCGTACAAACATAACAAAAAGTCCTGTCTAAGTGTAACGTGATCCATATGCAACATCCGATGTAATGGCATCATCAGAAACATTCGTGATGCGAGACAATTAATATGGTAAGGATGAAACTGCAAATAAACAAATCCTCTCCTGATCTTACATTGCTTGTTTCGGACTCCTTCCTAACGGGCCATACACACGATATTAGTACACTTTTCTACGTAGAAAGTGTGGCAAGCAGATATTGTATATGCAGATACTTGCCATGAGATTCTTAAAACCTCATGAATTTGTTGCAATGTACAATTAGATATGGTCACAGATACAATCAGTATTATTAAAAATATTTGTACATGTAGTTCACATTATTGGAGATGATATAAATAAATATAAAAACAATATACGTTATACAATAATCAGATCCCGTTGTCATTCTCTCGACTAACAAAAATCTCCTAGGGTCGATCCGATGTATATTTTTTCAAAGTGCAGTAAATTAATTACCGCACGAATATCACTTCAAGACAATCATTCCAATACACAAATGTAGACTCTGTACATATCGGAATTAAAAAAAAACATGTTGAACAATAATCTCGAAAAATCACTGTTTAATTATTTGGACTTACCCGCTGAAAGAGAAGACTCCTATTATTCTTTACAACATTTATCAAATGCACGATGCATATCATTGTATGCGGTACACGATAATCATGATGAATCTTAAATATTTTTACATATGCATAATTTCGTGTAATTTCGGTGTCAGCGGGTAATCTGCTTGTGTGCCAAATAATCGTTTATCAATCTAATATTCGCGTAAGTTTCAACTTTGATAATGTTGATTATTGCAAATGGGTGTACGTTCGTCAATGCATCCGAGATCGGCGAACTGGCAAACTTATCTCGGACACACGTGAACTGTCCGTTTTCAAGTTTTCACTCTATATTTTGTACAGTACACCTATTTTAACATCAAAATAATGTGTTACACCAAATGTACAAACGGACGCGATCATACATCTTTTGTTGGCCTTTCCGCCGCGGATACCAAGAATAGTATTGTCAAAATATACATAGATTTCTTGTCATCATCATCGATCTTAAATATGTAACGGGAATTAATGTACACTGTATCTCCGAAAGTGGGCTCAAGAGAAAAGCTCTCAAAATCCCAAAATCTCACGCTCACATGGACGATCCGATGATTAGTGCAAGAAGAACGATCGATAAACTGTCTGGCTAAAAACGTCTGGCAGTACAATTCATCGACGATCTTTACACACGAAGAATATACATTTCTCAAAACAACATGATTTGGACAGTCTGGTGTTAAGAAAATTTAACTTTAACTTTTCAAAATATTACGCTCCGCCGAAAAGGGGTACTTTTCAATATCATTCGTTACAACACGTGTATGGCGTTGATAGCAAAAATTCATTTATGCTCAGTATTGGATATTATTATTTGATAAATTTCTACTACCGTGGACACCTTTTTTGATATACGAAATTTCTTCTTACATCATAAAATTTATAAAAACAGGTCCATCATCTTTTTTTTTTGGTAAAGATATATTTTTCTTTTACATAATTTTCAATTCATATGTATTGATCGGCTTTTAATTTGCCCAACTTGTGCACGAGTAAATAGAAAGATGTCTAATTACGATTGCTGGACAATGGCACCGGTGAGCAAGTTTCTCTGATCTCTATGACGCGGTAACGATGATAATGATACAATAATAATAATAATAATACAATAGCAATTAATAATAATAAAAATAAAGGGGTAATAATATTAAACTAGTATTATCTGCCTAACGATGATCGACAATTACAACTTGGGCTTCGTAAAGCCGTTTATATGACTAGCTTTTGCAGGGTCTCCAATTACATTAGGCCAGTTCACTGAGATAGGCCAGCATGGTCCTTCCCTCTGTAGATGTGAAATCCAGTGGAGTTTTCAATGTACAATGTTACTTTACAGGTCTTCCGTTAGCAAGCGATGTATTTCGCTGACTGCGGAAGCGAGCAGCCGGGAAACATTGAAGTTTCATGTAATTGGCGTTTGCTAGGTCATCACAGTATCGGTGAGGTCGTCCTTCAGCCATTGCGGGATCGTTCTCAATCCAAGCCGCTTTAATAATTTCACTAGAGCCGTATTGTGGGACAAATAATATCTCTGCAAGAGACACAGCGTTTGCAAACAGATACGATTGTCTTATACGCCAAAAGAAGAAAGAGAATTCACTTGGACTTTACCTGTAGTAATTTGTATGATCTATCTTCCATCGGTGGGTACTGGCGACCTTTACTTTTGCCGAGACACTTGGTGCGATCTTCGTTAGTCACTTGACAGAAGAAACCCTTTTTCGGATCGTATCTCAGGTGCGAGGAATAATTGAAGGCGGGCGTTATTTTTAGAAACCGTTGCAGCTCGTGCAGCGTTTCCACGGGGTTTTGTCGTAGCTGTTCGCCATCGATGATGTGCAATTGCTGCGGCGAATAAAACGATAACCATCTCTCTAAATGTTGGGCATACTTTCCAGGATTTAGACACCTGCAATCGAATGCAATGTCATGTTAAAACTTGCGTTAATAGAGACACACGCTGCGCACATACACGCTATGTTAATTTAAATATAAATGAAATTGTAGCAAGATATGTTTGATAATTTTACTATTCATCCATTCATTAGCTTTTAATTGCCATTATGAATAACATTGGAATTTTCTTTGCCAGTGTATTGAAAATCAATTAACTCAATGTAGTGACTTATCTGGCATTTATTATACTGGTCACTGGTCTATCTCGCACGGCATTTCGAAACGTCTTTTTGAGATCGTGCTTGAGAAATGTGATATAAGGACCAGTAATTCTATTAAGTTTTAATGAACTGACTTTTGTAGATATGACTGAATGCTTCCACATTAGTCAACCTACTTATTGTATAACCTGAAGAGGATCGCAATTCGCGATCGAAACGTCGTTGTGACCAGTATAATAAATGCCAGATAAGTCACTACATTGAGTTAATTGATTATGAATAACGTCTACTTGTACATTATTAGGCGAATACGTCTTACAATTAGGCAATCGTTCATGTTCAATTACGTGCCTATTTCTAAGGTCCCGTAGGGGTTTCGGTGCAGAATCACTCGCTGTGATGACCGCATGGAAGGAGTAATTGTTCGCTACCGGATCTCCATGCACTCTGGTGTGTTGGTACCATGAATAAGCACGTCTAGCTGGAGAGAGCAATATGGTGATTAGCTTGGCTCTCGGCAGAAGTGCATGAGCCCGCCGCGGCACTAATTCTCCGTCAAAATACGTCGCGGATTTTTCAAAGAGGTATCGGGAACTCTCATTTTTTGACGCCGGGAAAAAGCTCATGTACCTGAAAAAGTAAGACGAGCCATATATTTCTGCTTTACACGCCGCGTGTATACAGCGAATATAATAAATTGTAGAACTAACGTTCCCAGTTGATTACTTACCAATCAAGACCCTTGTAATAATTCTTCCCGTTGAAAAACTGTATCTCTTCAAAAGTATCGGGGCTTGGTAAATTGCTGCTTATTGCTGGATGAATGGACAGGAATGTGTACAACGCCGTGGTGCCGGTTTTTTGAGGTCCGATTACTAGAAACCGCGGTAGCTGATCGCAAGTTTTGTTACGGGACCAAATCTTCTGATGCCTCTGATCATCGCACGGATTCTATAAAGGAAAGATAATTCGAGCATTAATAGTGTTGTAGAAGCACAGTCAAGATTATTGAATATCCAATTCACTCACTCCCCACACTGGATCGGCTTCTTCGGGATATAGCTGAAAGTAACGTTCCCCGAGCTGAAGTGGCGGTGCACTAGATAGCCTTAAATTCGTCCAACACTGAATAAACTTTATAACTGACTCGAAAGTGTACAACGCCAGTCGATCGTTTCCATAATTCGACATATGTGTCATAAAAATATTTATCTAGAAGAAACGATATGCGATTAAGATCACGTGGTCGCTTGCAATATTTACATAATCAATATCACATTAAAGGAGCATCTAAAATGAAAGTAACGATATAAGAAAGTGTATAAAAATAGTAATCCGTAACGAGCCAGAAATGATTAATGACAAAAATTTGCTAGATACATAATTGTCAGAGGTGAATGTAATACGAAAGATCAAACGAGCCCAGAAAAGATTGATTTACTCACCGGATTATATACGATCGTTTGGAAAAGTTCCCCGCCTTGTATCGACTCGTCCAGCTTTTCCCTTCCACCCGGGTACCTCTCGATAAAAATTGTGTGAGTAAAAAGGCCACATGTTTGCCTCGGTAGGACCTTGAAGTGCATAGAGAAGGGACGTTTTTACAACCGACAACATCGAATTTATAATTTCTACACATATATCAGAGGATTTAATAAAATATACGAAATAAAGATTTATACATATATATATTACATATAAAATAACACCTACGCGAACGATATAAAATGATAAATGTGCAGATACATATAAAATATTTGTTTTGGCAATGAAAAGTTAATTTTCCACAAAAGTTTAGACTCGGAGTACAACGTTGCATTCGGTAAAATAATACAGCTGCTTTTTACGCGCGCGTATTCATCGGTAAACAAATACTAAATTAATTATTAACGGAATTTTATAACCGATTACGTGTTTAATATTCATGTAAATTAGCGTGCAATAAAATCGAGATTTTCGTATTTCGAAAATTGCGGTGTAAGCCAATATTCAAACGCACAGTGGATTATTTTCAGCCGAAAGTTTGCACGTAACTCGCGCATTGTGCCCGCCGGCGGGGCTTGCTTTTTAAAAACGTTCATATTTTTACGGCTCGCGGTGCCGGAACTTGGGTGACTTCGTTACCATAATGTTACGATGAACGAAGCCGCGCCTCAGACGAGCCGGCCTCAGGTGCGGATACTCTTCGGTGCTCGTGACCTTGATGTTCCACACCCGCTTCCACGCCTCATAGAGGCCTTCGTGGACCGGGTAAACGCCGGAGTGATGCGGACTTACGCTGTATCCGCTTCCCGTCGGTATACCGTGGTCCTTTGCGAACTGCTTGTTCAGCGCCATGTCCAATTGCAGATGAGTTACATTCTCGTAGAGATGCGGCTGTTGGTGATTCCACATGTGGGAAAACCACGTAAATCTGCAATATCGTAAATTCATGAGGTCGCGGGCAACATATTTATTCGACGCGCCGAGAGGGCCGCGTAAGGAGAACGCGACTTCTCAAAGCGCGTGGAAATATGCCTCACACGTTTTCCCTTAGCTCGATGTCGACAGCCACAATTAACTGCGATCGTACGCGAATAAAGCATTGTAACGTTTTGTCGCGGGCGATTATGGCAGCATTATAACAAACTGTTGCGTGACATTATACGATAAAAGCTACTACGACGTGACCGTAAATTTAGTTTATGTTATGCGCTCTATACGTACATGTGCTTCACAGTAATAAATTACATAATTGTAGCAGTCGCCGGTATAGTTGTAATTAATTAAATTACCTTTAAAGCAAATATTTCGATTTATGATACAATATACATAATATTCTGTTGATTAATATATACCGGTTATATATCTATATATTACACTTTGGATATGTATACACCTCTACTTACAAAATGTAATATTCACCGAATTTATCGCTTTCGCGCACGATTAATTCACGGATTTACCTGTCTACGTTCTCCAGGAGCATGTCGTCCCCCAAATTCTCCTCCGCCGTCCCGTGATGAAAATATTTCCCGGAAAACCCCAAATTAAATTTAAACCCCGGCACCAGCGCTTGAATTCTTTGCTGAGTGGCTAGCAACGCCATCACGTCGTCCTTCCTCAGCCTGGTGCCTTTCTCGCCGACGAATATATCGTCGACGTCCACCAGGATCATGCGATTTAAGCTGAGACTCAATTGCCCGTGCGACAGGTAGGACAGTGAGTCCAGCAGCAGCAATTTGTGCAGCCAAAACCGTAGACCGCCACCGAAGAGAACTCTTTGAATTCCGTCATACCTGCCGTGATCCTGCGAATTGAATATATTTTGTGAATCAAGACCTCTCTTTAGGCCTGAAAAATTCAATTATCAATAAACCAATCTTCACCGCGTCGCATCACGTATACGCGAGTGGACTCGGGATTGTATGCTGCATTGTAAATTAAGTATCGGCCAAAATTGTATCGCCTTTCGACTTTTCGAGTATAACTACACAGTTGAAAAATTTGTGTTAAAGTTAACACATATCACATGTTCCAAACGGTCCACAAAAATTTTTGTGTTAATTTAACATAATGTGGATATGTTAAATGATCACACTAATACGCTGTTAATATTTTAACACACAATAAATACAAATCTCAAAATAATTTGAAATACATTTTGTGTAAAATTAACACTTTTCAATGACAAAATGAATTTTTACATATTACAGATGTAATAAGTCAAATGACGGTTTGAAATCACTCTGACTTAAGTTACATAGAATAAAATCGACATTTTATTCTGTAAATTTTAACAGATAAATCTTGTTACTAATAATATAGAACATAGGCATTGTGTGAGATGAAAAAATAAGTACTTGTGTTGTTTTAACATTTCTTTTAAACATTTGAGAGATCAATTAACACAAGAGCAATATATTATTATAAATTAACACATGAATGTGTTAAACATTTAACACTAAAATTTTAACCGGCATTTTTTTAACAAGACAAGAAAATACAAATTTTCCAACTGTATAGGTCAAGTCAATGGCACCACCTTGTGTCCCCCTTCGCGCCGAACAACTTTTGTTTGAAACGTTTTTCCGTATCTTTCATATTTTCGGAGATATTTGCGTGGATCGCTTGAAATGAGACACCCTGTATAATTATCCTGATCATGGACGTATAAATGGGAATGGGTGCCCGATGTAAAAGTGGCTATTTGCCCCAATTTCTTCTATTCACATCGGAGCGGTCGTTAGAATTTAGTTGGTATTTTAGTTCCGCGTTTCGAACGTGCGCCGGTTTCGGGACCCTCTATATAATGTGTATATACGCGAGCGCACATACACACTCGGCCGACCTAATCATCGCGCGTTAACGAGCATCGTTATTTTTCTCTCAATGGAGTACGGTAGAGTAATCGGCCACGTCCGACGTGTTAATTGCATTGTTCGACGGAAACTCCCCGGCAACTCCGGCAGCTTCGGTCATGAACCGGGCTTGTTAGCAGTAAACAACAATAATAATCTCACGGATAATCCCGTCTGCGCGAGAGGTGGGTTCGGGCGTCGAGATAGATACGCGGATCGCACAGGTAGCCAGGTGATTAAATCAGGAGCCAATCAGCCGTGGGCTCATTCGATTAATGAACGACTGCGCGACCCGCTTCATTTGCCGCCATTGGAACCGCCAATTTATTTCGTTTCGGGGGTTGGTCCTACCCTGCCGTCGAATAGATCAAACGGCACCGACACGACGGAGATGAGCAAGAGGCCCCCGGCGGGATGTTTTTAAAATCCACAAATATATCTCGAGTACAACGAGCCGTGGGAATCACCGTGCGTGCAGCTTCAAAGCGTTTTCTTTTTCAACTAAGGTGGAGTGGGGTAAAACCGACCCAGAAATTGTAAAGTTTACTTTAAACTGATGTATTTTCTATCTATTCCACTAAAACCTAATAATCTTAGTGTTTTTATTTAGCGCATGGTTTATTCTTTAAGTTGCATTAATTTGGATTAAAAATAACTTCTGAAACTTGTGATTTTCTTAATAAATTAAAAACAGTGCTGCTAGGGCGGACTTGCCCCGGAACTGGGACAAAACTGCACCTACCTGTTTAAAAATTATTGAATCTTATTTCCTTATATTATGGGGCAAAAGCGGAATTATTATGGAAAC